ATTAAAAGATTGTTGACATAGCAAAGATATAGTCCATAAATATATTGAAAAGTATATTCCCAAATGACGTGAGTTGGGTTAAATACGTCGTGAACTACTCTCCTGGCCCCCGGGCACACGGCGCTAGACGCTTGCTGCCCGGGGGATTGTATAATTTGTCTCGAACCACGTAAGCACCATTTGTCTATGCGGTGTGTACATAATTTAGAGAGAATGGTTACCGTGTCTGTATGTTCCTTGTCCTGAGTTATGACGTTAAATAACTCATTCGAATTAACTGCCACGGCCCCCGTGGGTTGCCCCCCCGGGGGCTAGTCACTCGGGGGTTGCCCCCCCCCTTAGGGGGGGGCTAGTCTACACAGAAGTATCTCTCCCCCCCCCATTCCCCCTTGCGGGGAGGGGAGGGGGGTAGTGCAAAATACGAGGAAAGAAGCCTAATCCGCTAATCTTTTAAGCAGTTAAGGGTCCGACTTGTATTTTATGATTTATATGGTTCGGCGAAAGCTTCGACATAGTCGAAGCTTTCACCGATTTCTTTTTAGTTTTACTTTAAATGAGGCATTGTATAGCTAAAGGATTTATTTCGAGGTTTTTGATTTATTCTTCAGGGTTAGCCATTATCCATATTTGAGCCTTCATTGCTATTATATTAGTATGATACCCGTACCCGCCTACAAGGCACATAGGCCCTAAGTTCCTATCGGGACTAAGAAAGCCTGGCACGCTAACTCTTTGTAAAAATCTGAAAGTATGTAGTACTTAAATAGAAGGTAATAAATAATTAACAGTTACTCCGGCCGGGCGAGCCTAGCGCCTTCCGGCCGGAGCCTCGGGCAATCACATTACTTAGATTTCTTAATATTCTTTGGGCCTAGGAAAACAAATTGTTTTTATATAAATGGCAAGGCCCCGTCCCTTGTATTTGGTTACCCTTTCCCTTTGGGCTATCCCTCTGGGACCAGAGAATGGAACTACGAGGGTTTGAAACGTAGGCGGAGTAATCCTCAACCCATACATATCTTATTGAGAGTTATTTTTTTGCTAAATGAACATACATATTAAATCATCCTTTTGTCAAATGGTATGAGCGGGCTTTTCCCGGGCCCCCCAAAGGGGGGAGGGTGGCCAGCGTTTTTTTTTTGCAAGACGGCGCTCGTCGCTTGCCGCAAAAAAAAAAAGAGCGCCGTGGCACCCCCCCCCGGGGAAATTACAATTAATTATACATTGTCTAGCGACGTAAAATCACTATATGCTGAAACATCTTAAAGCAATATTTACTTTAATAGTCATAATTATATTGATGTTAAAATAGATAATCAGCAAGTTAATTTAAGTAACTTCAGAGACTATATGTGATTATTCTTTAATTATAAAGGATAAGATAAAGTCCATAGTTATTAGAAATAATAGCGGTATATGGAGACAGTATGGTTTCTATCCACTAGGGTAATCGATATATGAGTAGGCCCTGTCATTAGTACGAGAGGATTTTGATGGGTGAACCTCTGGTGTACCTGTTATTAAATAACCCAATTGGATTATATTTAGTATCGCAGGGTAGCTACGTTTATAAAGGATAACAGCTGAAAGCATATAAAGCAGGAAGCCCCCCTACGGATTATATTTATAGAGAAGTGATCGAACATCACTTTGATAGGCTATATGTGTAAGTGTAGTAATATATTTAGCTAGATAGTACTAATACTCAAGTAATCTTGGTAATACCTTTATCGTCCCGCCCAGCAATATTTTATCTAATATTATATTTTATAATATTCAATAAATATATTTATATTTATCGTTTGCCCCCCGGGAGACAAGGGGACAACGGTCCCGCCTCCCGGGGATATTATATATTTTTATAAACCACGAAATAAGTATGCTTAATTCGGTATTCACAATTTTAAAGCTGCTTTTTTTGTTTTTTGCTGGAGGCAAACTACGTCTGCCAGCAAAAAACAAAAAAGGGACTATCAGCAAGAACCTGGTTTTTATTTCATCTCTGACCCACCCCTGATAGACCAGGAAACCCAGTCGCGTCTTGGGTTTTTCTTTACTATCGTTCGTTCTGGGGTTAGCCGACAGCCGAATATATATATATTCTATATATATTTGAATATTTCTATATAAATATTAGATGGGTAACCGCCCGGAGGGCCCGGGTTCTTCTCGGACAGGCGCTAGGCGACCCCCGGGGCCGTAGGGGGAGAAGAATTATTGCAAAGAAAAAAAAAGGCTTCGGCGTAGCCGATCCGCCGGGCGTACTAATCCCTCCCCGACTTTAGGGGGGATGGAGGGGGAGGAATCGCTAGAAAGCGAAGAATTAGTAATAATATAAGAACCCATAAAAACCTTTCCAGAACGAATGTATCTAGTTACTGTCGTTTCGTTAACACCTAACCAAGCTGCTGCGGAAATCTAGAAGAAAAACTCTGCACTAGCACACCGTCTACAGTAAAAATGGAAACTCCCTTCGCATTCGCGGCGACTTTTCCATAATAGGGTTGAGCGAACCAAGATTTATTGCACGCAGTAGAGCTGTCGACGCTTCAGTGTGCTTATAACCGAACCTAGAGCCAGCAATAGGATTAAAGTTCGATTTTTATATATATATATATATATAAAAATTAAAAAAAAATCTGATTTTTTTTCGATCGAAGTGATGAAGGAAGAGAGAACAGTCAATTAAGATAAAACTGTTCCCGTGATAGTACGTTCTCAGGAGTACAAAACTCTACGACGATAAAAACGAAAACTGGAAGACCATAAAGAGCAATGGCATGCTGTAACTCCCCGAAATAACTTATAAGAAACAAGAATAAAAGTTTTCTCTTTATAATTATAATTAGATTTTAGGTTTTGGAAATAAATATAAGTAACAAGACTTAAATTTTGTTCTTGTTATAATAGTTGTTAAGTAGTAATGGTTTGAATTTTAATTTTAATCATGATTTTAGTGATCGCCTTATCATCCCTTCGGATTACCGCTATTTATTTTAAGTGGATTGCTCGGGCCCCCGGGGGGGTGGCCAGCGACTAGCGCCGTGGCACCCCCCCGGTGGTTATCTCTTACTCATCGCTGGGGTATCGATTCTATTAATTGGATCTTTAGGTTCGGGCTTTGGGGGAATCGAGAGTTTATTCCCAGGAACCATCAATGAAATTGATGAAGGACTGCCAGCATTAACCAAATACCTCAATACAGTATTATTTACTGTATCAGGTACGAGTCGTTGTTTAATTTCAAGTTGGGATCTAGTTTCTATGTTCCATCAATTGAACTTCAGAGTTTTGCTGTGTATGTTTATAGCTCAGTTACCTCTCACTATATTGTGTACTGCGAGGGGGCAGAAGATTTCCCCCGATCGGGGTCCCCCCCAAGCAGGAGATTGCTCCTATAGTTAAGAATGTGTGAGACTAGACGAGAACCTAAATCAACAGAACTTCCAATCCATCTCTACATTGTGTAGAGATGGAAAATATATATATATAGATTTTAGAGAGTGCGCCAGTCTCGAGGCACTTAATGCAATAAACCCCACATTGATTAGAAAGGGTAGCTTTTGCTAGTCCCGATGGGGCGGTGAAAGCTTCGACTTAGTCGAAGCTTTCGCCGACTCACCCCTCCCCGTAGGGGGAAGGGACAAGCCCTCTCCCCTCCCCGTAAGGGGGAAGGGGGGGGCTAGTTTTAAGTTTTCCGAAAGATGGAGATTAGAAAATTCCATGATACTTGGTAAATTCGGAGCTTCTTCACAGAGGATAGCATTTAAGCTAAATGAATAAAATAGTAATAATAAACCAAACAGTAGTAAAAAACTGCAGAATCTCAATAGGAGATTAGCTAAAACAGCCGTAAAGCTTCGTTGAAATTACTATATTGTAACAGCCTTATAACCCTAATACTCAAAGTTTTATCCTGGCCCCCCCCCTAACGGGGAGGGGGTTGCCCCCCCCCCCCTAAGGGGGGGGGGGCTAGTCCTCGGGGGCCCCCCGGGGCTTTAAAACAACCCATTTAAAACAACCAGTACTCTCCCGAGTCTGATGATAGTAAAACTGAAAGTCGCCCTTTTGAGGCGGTCCATTATGATTTAAATTGAACAGCTATTTCTAACTTCAAAATAATAGAGATGAAGGCCCCCTTCATAATAGTCATAATCTTGGACGCTTAGCTGTTGTATGTCTTTGTGGGGAAGTAACCTGATGTTACTCCTTTACTTATATCAAATTTTATCCAGATAGTTGTTGCGTCCCCCTTCCTCCCCCCACTTTATATTACTTAATAATAATATAAAGCAAACATTATATTAACATATAATGGTAAAATGAGGGGGGGGCTAGCGAGTAGGGCTACCATCATACTCATAGAGAATGATTGTTTTTAATATAAATTAAAAAGGAATTTAATATAATTAAATATTAATTTAAATATATATAAATCTAAAGACCTCGGTATGGGTCACTAGGCTACATTTAACCACTCACTGTACCAGTGAGTAAGTCGGCCCCCGGGGGGACCGGCGGACTTGGTCGCCCTCCGGTCGTTTTTCCCCCCTCCGCTCCTGGGTAAGCTTACCCAGGAGCCGATGGGGAGACAAACCCCCGGGGGATTTGATGTCATACGGCCGGATAAGGGGTTCTTCAACGAATACATGCCAAACCTCCTGATTATAATATTTAATCGGATGATGATATATTCTGATCAATCATGCGAATGGTTGACCAATGTAAATATATTGGATCTGTATGGGGGCAGCTGGTGTTTTATTTAGAAAGAGATATAGATTATCTCTTACTCCTTTAATGTAAATATTTTATAATTTAAAAGAATTGTTTTTTTTTAGTATCCACATGATAGTTCTTCTTATTTACTTATCGCCCTCCGGGGGAACGCGGGCGGGCCTACGGCCCTTCCAGCTCCCCCGGAGTAGGTATTAATTAGATTCTCCCGCCCCCCCACTTATAAGTCTATAAAATTTACCTGTTATATTCAACAATGTACAGTTTTAGTAGCTTAAATGGTTAAAGCATACGACTGAAGATCGTAATAAGGAGGTTCAATTCCTTCCTAGAACATTCTCAAGAGTATACACAGCACAGATTTCTCCCTTGAGCATTATATAGCCTAATTATCATGGTCTTACACGCGTGAATATGGGCTTTATAATGTAGCTATAGAGCTAGTTTTAGTGTAAGTGTCTATAGGGGGGGAGGGAAACCCTCTAAATATTAATAAATCTAAGATTTATCTACTTGCATATAAAATATGCTGCCCCCGGCGGGCCCGGCCACGGCGCTAGTCGCTGGCCCGGGCCCGGCAGTATTAAATAAAACAACAATAAGTCAAATATAAAATGCAAAATTAAATGGAGGAAATACGAACAATTAGATATTTACCTTCGACAATCGAACCCCGTTTAATGGCCAGAGATACGGACGCTTTAGAAATCTTAAGGTACTTAGCTGCATCTATCTGAGTCAAAAATTCTCTCACGATAAAACCATTTAAATCAGTTAAAGCTACCGCAGTAGCCTTATGATTATTTGCTCCCGATTGGCCCGCGCTGATTTTTGCTCTCGTTTCCAATGAACGTGTAGAGCCTTTGAGGGTTTTACTAATTTGAATTTTAGTTTCCTCTTTATGCACATAACCAAGAGAGGACCCCGCATGAGGTAAGAAATTATATCGAAAAGCCGCTGGAAGGGAGAATAATAAATCGAGCCAATACTGCTCGAGTGCTAAGAGTTTAGCCGCATTTTCTTCATCAGAAAGGGCTGGGTCTATGATAAATTCTGCTACAAGTCTAACCATAAAGGTAGACAGTCCGTATAAAGCTAAAGCGTTTTGAAGATGTGGATTGCAAGAGCCGTATACTAAATGACTCATTAATCTGAGCCCAATATTCGCCGAGGAACCTACATACGCTCTTCCGGTAGAAATATGGATAATAGCATAAACTCCCGCAACTCCTTTCAAAGTACAAATCATAGCCTTGAAAGATTCCGTTAGATGCAGACCAGTAAAATCCATAACCGAGTGAAGAAATTCCATAGTCTATCATATATTTATCCTTTTTGTTATTCTTAATGTTTTGTCTATTATTTCAAGAGAGAATCAATTACATTATATACCCACTCTACTTATAAAGATTTCAGAGTAAAACTAAAAATCTTACACGACAACACAAGAGGGTATTGTTCCCTTTTCTCCCAAAAGATGTTGTGTGCCCGCCTCAGCCCCTGAGCAACATTCGGTGTTTATAGATTATGGGGGCCCGTTTATAGAGGGCGAGATTTAGCCTGCTATTTTAGGTTAAAGTCACGATCATTTTGGATTTTCCCGCCCCCCCCCTAACGGGGAGGGGGTTGCCCCCCCCCCCCTAAGGGGGGGGGGGCTAGTCCTCGGGCCGGGGGATTAGAAATAATTATCACTTTACGTCCAATTGCGGTAAACGAGTGCCATCCCTTGTAGGTTAGTCCCTTGTTACCCCGCTGTACCCCTACAAATGATCAGTTGGAACAGTGGACTATTATTATGGACTCTTTTTTAACCTCAAAACCACATATTCGGGCTATCCCTATACCCCTATTTAGGTTTACCCCCCTCCTCAATCACAGCAATCCTCTTTTATATGGTATTTATTAGGAAAGAACCTACGCTTGATTTAGCCTTATCTTATTACCGGGTATAGGGACAGCCCTACTGGTTAAAATCAATACAAATCCATCTCTTCGGAAATATACCTACTGTACCTTTCCTATTCAGGTTCATATAAAGAAAACAAATAGAGTGACATGCTATTAAATTTCATCCAGAAATTATCAAATAGGAGATAGTAGAATCGAACTACTGCTGTGTACGTGTAAAGTACATACTCTACCACTAAGTGAATCCCCTGGTTACATTGTGGATATAGTTGGATTTGAACCAACAGGGACAGTAATATCCCAAAGTTTAGCAAACTTCCACCTTAACCGATTCAGTCATATATCCTGGTCCATATTATTTATTATTTTTCGCGATAACTTAATCGCGGGCAAAAAAAAAAGGGGCAGAGTCAATACAGATTCCTATTTTCCCTAAAGAGTATCAGATAAATATTATTCCCAATTTGGATACGGCTTTTCCCCGGCCCCCCAAAGGGGGGAGGGTGGCCAGCGTTTTTTTTTTGCAAGACGGCGCTCGTCGCTTGCCGCAAAAAAAAAAAGAGCGCCGTGGCACCCCCCCGGTGGTTCTTATATCAATCCTTTTATCTTCCATATTTGAATCGAATAAAAGCGTTTTAAATCGTCACGCCACGGCGCCGTAGGATTAGACAGCATAAAACGAGGTGTATATACCCATATCTTTATAAGCCAAAATCTATATATATATTTTAGATCCGCAAAAAAAAAATACAACAACAGGGGCACCCCGCAACGAAACCCAATACGAATAGGGATCCCACTAGACTCGCAAACCCTCTTATTGAAGATTGCCGGTTAGAAGAGTCGAACTTCTACTCGATTGTTTACAAAACAATAGCTTTATCCAATTAAGCTAAACCGGCAAATTGAGGGGGGCAGTCAACCGATTCAGGTTTATATGAAGAATAATACTATGATAATAATGATAATAATGATTATTAACTCCACTATGGGGGGTAGTAATAGCGTAGCTATCGCTCGGAGTTAAAGGCCTAGTCCATTGAGATTCGGTCGAAGACTCTGACCTAGCCGGAATCAATGGGCGGGCCCCTTTAGATGAGGGGGCTTATCGAGCGTTGTATGAAACCAAATCATAACGAATAAGCCACACCATACTCCCGACACATTTTCATCACCCCATGTGTGTTTCATTTCTCGTTCAAACCTCTCCCTTGATCTCGGTCAGCTTGTAGGTTATCTTCCTATACTTATAAAGAAAATTTAAACTAAAAATAGAACGATAAAAGGCTGGTGGGGTACTTCCTTATATGTTTTCTTGATTCCTTCGGACTTGCCCCCCCCCCTTTAGGGGGGGGGGCTACCGCTGGCCATCCCCGCCAGTTGCTCCCCCCTTCTTTGAAGGGGGGGAGCAAGTCCGGAGGAGGGTCCGGAGGAGTTGTTTTTTTTTTTTCAAAGAAAAAAAAAAAACTACAACCATTTAAATTTTACGAATTCCATCTTCACCCTCTTTATCTGCAGGGCATACCAGGTTTCCATTGGGTATTATTACTCCAATTTATTACAGTCCCCGGGGTTTTACTTTATTTATTAAGCAGATTTTAACGGCTTGTCTACGTCCCCGTCCGCCCCCCTGTATACATAAATATGGAACAGGGGGGTCTAAAGGGGAGGGCCACGGCGCTCGTCGCTGGCCCCCCCCTACGGGGAGGGGTGAAGTACTACCTCTAACCATCCTTTACTATAATCTTTACTACTTCTAACGGTTCTTTAATGGCGGTTTATTTACCAACTAGGCCCGGAGGGCCTCACCCTCCAGGGCCGAGACCGACCCTGTCGGGCTAGTTTACTATTACAAAGGGGGTAAACACGCTTCAGATATCGGATCGTGGTTAGACTTTATACCCCTTTTATGCCTTTAGGAGTTCCACTAGCCCCCGCCCCGTCTTCTTTATAAGAAGACGGGGCCGGGGGCAAGTCGGCGGAGCCGAGGGCCCGGAGGGGTCCCCGGGGACTACCATCAACAATTGCTTTCTGTAAAGCTTTAGACCCATGGTTTATTAAACCTAAATGGTTAACGGTTTTTTTTTCCAGGGCGGACATGTGCCCGCAGAAAAAAAAATTCAGAACCGGTCCCCGGCCGGAAGGCGCCAGGCTAGCCCGGCCGGGGCAGGATACTAATCCTATCGAGAACCTATTACTAGCTCGATACCGGTTGAGATTATGAATTTTTAATCTTTGACTCCATTTTGATCTCTATTTATATGGAAAATCGAAAAATTGTCAAAAAACTACATTTCCCCCCTGGGCTCCTGGGTAAGCTTACACCAGGAGCCCAGGGCCCAAACGTCAAAATCTAACCCTTGCTACGTTTATATGGAAAAAAAAACAACTTACAATGCTTGTGCATTTAAATTGGTAAGATTTGTAGTTGTTGTAGTTTACGTTTACGTTTATTGTCTTTAGTATATTGAGAACCATTTAATTCTAACTAGTAATAAATACTAAGATGTTAAATATTAGTGCATATCTTCTGCATCATGAATCTATGTACATAATAAAATCGGGCGTGAATAACATAGGCTTGAAGGCAGGCGACACCTCTATAGAGGAGAAGTTCTTAAATAATAAGTACCTCTAAATAGCATACCTGATCGAACAAAGACATTCACCGATGTTCGGGATGCCTTTAATCATTTAGCCGCACGAATTTGAGAAGAAAACCTTTTAACTAAAACATTATTAGTATCATACACATAAACTGCTAATGCCTTCGTTGGTGTCAAACCGGACAATTTTCCTGATTTGGCTGCACAATCTTAGCTCGAACCTCAGGAGAATTTTTCTATCCAAAGAAGAACCAGCTGTAGATTTAAAGTTATACCGCATTTTTTGTTTTTCTGCGGGCACATGTCCGCCCTTAGAAAAAAAAAAAAACCGGCCGGGAGTATTTACTAAGTTAGCTCACTATTGTTCTAGTTTGCCACACGCTGCTAAAACGTCTTCTATTAGATCGGGGGTATGGTCTTTTGGGATTAGTTTTAATACTAGATCTCTCCCGTGTTTTACCGAATTATATTCTTTATTTTACATTAATGGAATTAAGGGAATTCCTTTAGATATTTTTAATCTTCTTTCACCTATTGCCTTAGCACATATGATCATGGGCGACGGCGGGTGGACAGGGTCTGGACTTAAACTTTGTACGCATTCTTTCTCAGTTCCCGATTGTGTTCGACTAATGAACGTTTTAATGATCCGATATCGGCTTAATTGCACACTACATTATGACCATGGCCTTCCAGTAATCTATATCAAAGCTAACTCTATGCCTTTATTGCGATCAATTGTTTTAGAACATATGGATCCTTCTATGCTTTATAAGTTGGGACTTTAGTGAGCATTAGTGTTCTCCATTTTCTCCTGCACAAACCCTTTTGGGTTTACCCCCCCGATGGGCCAGCGACTAGCGCCGTGGTTTTTGTCTAAAGACAAAAACCACGGTCGCATGCACCGTGTCGCGGAGCCAGAGGCACAGCGCCACTGTGCTAGCGCCGTGTTTGTTTTAACAAACACGGTCGCACGCACCGTGCCTTTGTCTAAAGACAAAGGCACTGTGCTAGCGCCGTGTCCATCGGGGACCCTCACCTCGCTCCAAAAGTTAAGGCTATGGCGAGGGATAATTGGAATCCCGGGTAGACGGGGTGGCCTTACTGGTTTATTTCAATACAAATCGCTCAAAGCCAAATCTCAAATAATTTAGAATTTTCGAAACATATTTTTAGATCTGTACCCCCCACCTCTCCACATTTTTCTATATAGCAGTAAATATACCAAGCGTTAGATTTTAGGGTTTTGAATTTCAATATAAGTAATGATAATAAGAAAACCCCTTTACTCTTCATCTGGGTACTCCTGGTAAAGGGTTATTATTTTTAGTCTAATGGTTCCGCGTGTGGTGGACTAGATCCATTTAAACGTCTTTAAACCGCTTTAAAAATTTTGGTAACCAATCCGCTTGCAATTATTATCGATCTATAAAGGAAACTCTAATTAACATATATTTTAGATTATCAACATGGAACTAGGTTTTTTTGAGGAACAGCGAACAGTTATCGATCTAAAAATATATATATATATATTTTTCAATTTTTATATATATATAAAAATCGTTATAGTTGCCACCCCTGCGGGGTCGCTTTTTTGTCTTGGTTTTAGATTCAAGACAAAAAAGGATGATCATATTTTAGTTTTTGTAGATTTTATTCAGTTCTTCCCGGAAGTGAGTGCGAACGGTGTTAGTCTGTATGTTCTCCTAGATTTTAGTACCCTCTTGGGGGTTTATTGTGACCTCGGAATGATCTCTGCACCAACAGCTATGGAGATTCTTGGTAATTTGAGTCGGGATGCCTATCCCAATTCTTGTCTTGTATGGGCTCATGGTATTGATGTTCTACTTGATCTTATGCCGCTTGCCAACAACTTGGATCTTACAGTGTTGGAACACAATTTTTACGAATTTTCAGGGTATCCCGACCTTGAAATGGTTCTTAAGGCTCAATTAAGTGATTACAACGCGGTTTGTAACCACGAATGTAGTGATGTATTAAGCGATGGGCTTATTTATTCAGATAAATCTACGGATTCAGAATAGCTCTTCGTAAGGTTTTATACTAATTTGGTTCCACATCCAGAACGGATTAATTATGTTTATGTGTTGGCTCCCGATTGGTTAACATATAAATGGAGATTTTTTTTTTTCAAGGAAGAAATTGGAAGAGATTCCAGCTTAACCCCGTTCTGGGGAAAGTTCCTTTACTGGAGCCCGCATAAGATCTCTTATTCTTGATCTTTTCTTGAAGAGAAATGGACGGGTGTCAACCGTGACGTGGTGCTCCAGCTCAGCCCAAAGCTGCGAGTCTCAGCCCAAAGCTGCCAATGACACAATCCAAATGCTCATTCCCTCTTTCTGAAAGGCCATCCACAACTAGGCCAGGACGGGAGAACGGTCACGTAACAGATCATACCACCGAGGCCGGGCGGCCGGGCGGGCGGCCGGGCGGTCGGTCGGTCGGTCATTTACACCCCGTAGGGACCCCCAATAACAAACCACATAAAGATATTTAGACAAGATTTATTGAATTATTAAGATTAGAAATGTAATAGAATCAAAAGTATTATTATTATTATTATTAGGTAATACTACCTATACCCCATCATATATTGCCAATTAAATTACCGTGTCCTGTATCTCCCTTGGCTAATATAAGTAAGGTAACCCAAAACGCATTATAATTCTTTTACTCTGAGTTTTCGTTCTCTCACTCCCTTCTTTGATCCCTGCATTCAAGGAGGACGCCGTAAGGCCCTTGAGAACTGGGGGTTCTGAATGATAAAAACTTTGTTTTAATATCTTATGCTATCAACTCTCTTAGTGAACAATCCGCTAGAACAATTCGAAACCTACGATTTTCTATATTTATTAATGCCTATCCTAGGATTCACTAAACTATCTCTGACAAATTTCGGATTCTACTTAATTCTAGTAGTATCTATTGTTTTAGCCATGAACTTATTAGCAAGTAATCATTACTCACTTATCCCTTCACGATGGTCAATTTCTCAAGAATCTATTTCCACTTCAGTGTTAAATTTAGTACGAACCTCTATCGGTCCTAAATATGAAATCTATTTTCCTTTTGTATACTCTGTATTCCTCTTTATTTTAATTGGGAACTTAGTAGGATTAATTCCGTATAGTTTTACAGTCACTAGTGGATTCGTGTTAAATATCGGTTTAAGTACAGCAATCATGATTGGGGTAACAATTATTGGATTCCAACGCCATGGGCTAGGATTCTTTGCGTTCTTTATCCCTTCCGGTACCCCTCTAGGATTAGTATGG